CCTTCCTAAGAAAGCATTATTTCCACATCAGTTGTCAGATGGGACCAATAGCAAGCCCATGTCAATGGACTGACCAAGACCCAAATGGGTTCACTCCTTTCCCTGTACCTCTGTCCATTTCATTTTTCTCTCTTCCCTGTTATTCGTTCTCCTGTGCTGCTATCAGCCATCTCTTTTCCACTTTATCTGAGCCTGGCTCTGCGGGCCTTTATGTTTTATCTTGGAGAATGAGTCAAGAGGCAGAGATTTAATTGCAAGAAAATCCCATGTGTATGTGTGTATGTGTGTGTGTGTGTGTGTGTGTGTGTGTGTGTGTGTGTGTGTGTTCTCCATGCATATAATGATAATATTTAAGAAATATTGCCTTCAAAATTGTCATCTCTTAGCCACAGCTGTGTTTTGTTTGATCAAACTGTCTATTGAATCCTAGGAATTGAATGTGGAGTGTTCGCAGGGGTGAGGTAACCAGTGGTGGTGGAAATCTTTGTGCAAACAATTTTGCCACTCAGGATAATACCCTGGAGGGCCATTCAAGTTTTTGTTCATTCCTTTTCATGTACCACAGTTTGTTTAACTATTCACCTATCAAAGAACGTTTTGGTTTTTTTTTTCTTCCGTTTTTGTTTTCCTTTTTCATTTTGCTATTACAAATAAAGCTGCTATAAACATTTATGTACATGAGTTTTATGGACATAGTTTTCATTTCTCTGGGATAAATGCCCACGAGTGTGATTACCAGGTCCTATGGTAATTGCATGTTTAGTTTTGCAAGAAACTGCCAAACTGTTTTTGTAGCATTTCATATTGCCATGCAATGTCTGAGAGATCCGGTTTCTCTACATTCTCATCAGTATTCAGTATTGTCTCTCCCCTCTTTCTCTTGTTCTTTCTCTCTCTCTCAATTTCAATTTACTCTAATAGGTATGTAGTGATATTCCTTTTTGAGGTCTTAATTTGTATTTTCCTCCTGGTTAATGATGGCTAACATCTTTCATAGTTCCTCCTTGGCAAAACAAATTCTTGTGTCCATTTTCTAAAATGTTTTAGTGTTGAATATTTTCAAAAGGTCTTCATGTATTTTAGATATTTAGATATGATTCATTAATCAGTGATGTCATTTTTGTCATTTGAAAATATTTCCTCCTATCGTGTAGCTTGTGTTTTCTTCTCTGTCTCTCTTTCTCTTTCCATTCCTCCCATGTGCACACATGCCCATGAAGGCATACGTGCACACTATTGGCTTTGTTTCTCTTTCTTTTCTTTTCCTTTTCCTGTCAGTCGTGGAGCTTGAACTCTGGGCCTGGGTGCTGTCCCTGAGCTCTTCAGCTCAAGGCGAGTGCTCTACCACTTGAGCCACAGTACCACTTCCAATTTTCTGTTAGTTTATTGGAGATAAGAGTCTCACAGACTTTCCTGCCCAGGCTGGCTTTGAACCACAATCCTCAGATCTCAGGCTCCTGAGTAACTAGGATTATAGGTGTGAGCCACTAGCACCAGGCTCAGTTTCTGCTTCTTTGGAGGAGCTTTCCTACTACAAGGAGCCATCTTTCCCCTCATGAATGTGCATTACCATTTGTTTAAAAGGCTACCATTCTTTTATTGACTTGCATTTCTACATTTAGATATCTGTCAAGCTATGGAAACAGCTCAGAAAGCCCTCTAGCAAATGAACGATATATATACACAGTGGACTGTTATTGACTAAGAATGAAATTTTGTCATTTGCAGGAAAAGAAATAGAATTAGAGATCACCATGTTAAACAAAGAAGCTAAATATAAAAAACCAAATATTCATGATTTTGTTCCTATGTGAAACATAGATCTGAAATGGAGGGAATACTATAGAGTAAGTGAATTCGAAACACATTGTACATGGTTTTTTTTTTTTTTCCGTCATGGGGCTTGAACTCTGGGTCTGGGCACTGTCCCTGAGATCTTCAGCTCAAGGCAAGTGTTCTACCACTTGAGCCACAGAGCTACTTGGCTTTTTCTGTTTATGTGGTACTGAGGAATCCAACCCAGGGCTTAATACATGCTAGCCAAGATTCTACCATTAAGCCACATTCCCAGACCACATCGTATATGTTTACACACACACACACACACACACACACACATACATACACACACACACACACACACACACACACACACACACACACACACACTATTTGGCTGCACTGGAGGTTTGAAAACTCAGGGCCTCTCACTACCTTGACTTGCTTGCTGAGTTAGAACTCTACCACTTCAACCATGCCTCCAGTCTTGTTTTTTTCCTGGTCAATTAAAGATGATATCTTGAGTTTTTTTTTCTGCCTGGGCTGACTTCGAACCACCATTTCCTGATCTGAGCCTACTGAGTAGCTAAGAGTATAGATGTGAGCAACTAGGCTCAGCTTATTTGTTATTTTGTTGTAAAGTTTTGTGTGTATATTTATGAGTGATACTGGTGTTTAACTTTCTTGTCAAGTCTTTATCTGGTTTTGGTAAGGCTAATTACAAGGGTAACATTAACTGTATAAAATGAATTGGGAACTATGACCTTTACTTCTATCTTCTTGAAGATTTTATATAGAAATGTCATTAGTTTTTCTATCAATGTTTGGAAAATTCTCCAGCAATTTCTGCTTGGCAACTTTTAAGTTCCTTTAGCTAGTCCTCATCTATAACATAGGGTGCATTGATAAGGTTCTCTTTTTCTGGTGCCAGTATTGGGACTTGAACTCAGGGCTTGGGGCACTGTCCCTTAGCTTTGCACTCAAGACTGGCGCTCTACCACAGCTCTACTTCTAGCTTTTTGATGGTTAGTTGGAAATAAGAATCTCACAGACTTTCCTGCCCAGGTTGGCTTCAAACTGTGATCCTCAGAAATCAGCCTCTTGAGTAATTTAAGATTATAGGTATGTGCTAACATTTAGATGGGTATAATATCAGATATTTAGAGGAAGACCCAGAGATTGGAGGCATGGTTCAGTTGGTAGAATACTAGCCAGTGAGTGAAAGCATCAGTTATATACTTATATATTTGCCTTTAAGGGCTAGCATTTTGTCTTGTATTCTTTACCCTCCAGTACAGCTCACCAACTTATTTTACATGAATCTAAGAAGAGGGAGGGAAGAGAGAATTGTACATGTTGTATCTCAGTCTTTCCAGGCTTCCTAAATTGTTCTGTCTTTTGAGAATTGGCAGTTTTCACACTCTGTTCCACTCTGGGGAGTAGGATGGGCAGGCTGCCACTAGGACATAGGAAGGGAAGTCCTTGTGATATCTTAAAGTCATTATGTTTTATTTATTTCCAGTGTGCTCAACATTTGTTCCACAGATCTGGACAGTTTAAAGATGGGGGTAGGGATGGAAAAAAAGAAGGATGAAAAGGAACTAGATGTAGAGAAAAGGATGAATATGTTTGCCTTTCAATATCAAATGGGGGCTCAGAGATCTTAAAGCTGAAAAGACATTTGGGTTTTGCTTTGTCTTTCTGTAAAATGAACACTGCTGTGATTGTCCATGTGGCATCTGAGGCATTTTTATTTTGGTTGGAGAAATAAATCTACCCTGTGTTACTAAAATTTTATAATGTACACTCTCCATCTATCATAACGAGCAGTTATTTCTTTCAAATTTAAATGGCATGTTTTAGGCTTTAAGGTAAGCTAAGCTCATTACAAAAAAGAAGAAAAATGAAAGCCACTCATAATCCCTCAAGGGAAAGATTAATTACTGTTAATATTTCTATTTATTTCTTTCCAGTCTTTTCTTACACACACACACACACACACACACACACACACACACACACACACACACACACAATTATAGCATATATTCATTTGTATAGCCTTCCTTCTATTAAATTTATACTGTGAGCATTTTCCCATGTCATTAAATATTCTTGTAAAAATAATTGTTAAAAATCAAACAGAATTTCATAGTGTATTACTACATAGCATTTCACAGTATGAACAACTTAAGCTGTTTGCGCTTTTTCTTTATTTTTAAATGATGCTATGATGAATGTCATAGTTATTTTGGTACACCTCTATTACTAGTTTAAATTTTTATGTACTTATATACTTATGGAACACACTGTGATATAATATAGAGTTGATATAATGTATGCAATGTCATGATTAAACCAACGTAATTGGCATTACTAACTTTTTAAAAATTAAAAATTTTCTTGATCAACATAATAATCTTAGTAACAATAATAATTATCTTTAAAATATTAATTTCTTAGAAAAAGAATCACTGCTAAAAAGATTAAAGAGAACATTGTTAAAGGTTTGCCACAATTTGTCAAGGTACCCTGTGGAAAAATTGGACTAGTTTGCATTCCCATTAGTGTGTGAAAATGACTGACTACATTAACATGGACTGCTTCTCCATCATAGATCTGTGCCATTAGTTTGTATCATTTCAATGTATATAGCATTAAGAAGTACCTTCTACACATGGGATGATTTGCAAGACATTAGACACTTCTCTTTTGCCATGCTGATGACAGATGGATAAAACACATACAAAGATGATCAAAAGTACAAGTAGAATATTCTGCATCCTATAACTCTCCATGGCCATGGCTGACATCATTTAGTCTTTAAATGGCTACTCATTGAGGAGGTGATACCATGTTAGTCAATTTAAAAATAATTTACAGGCTGAAAGCAAGACCCAAGTGATAGAATGCCTGCTGAGAGCAAAACCCCGAGTTCAAATCTCAGTACCACCAAAACCAAATTTAGATGTTCAAAGTACTTTTAAAAAGAATAATGTGACTCTTGCAAAAATCAGGCATTCTGTCTGTGATCATTTACACTATATTTCCTGGTGTAGTCGCAGGAGGAATGGAGAAAAACATTACAAATACACACCACTTATAAAAGCAAAGCCATCCTATCTGGGTGAGATGACAATTTCTACTTTTGTCAGTTCCCCTGAGAAAGTTAACCTGTTCATTATTGGAGGAGATGGACACAGAACATAAAGCAAACTAACCTCCTTCTGGCAGCTGGGGATAATTTGTCAGTGTCCTTTGAAATGTGGCTTTGTGTTCACTGGCGAAGGCAGCTGGAACAGAAAAGGCACAAGAGACAAAAGCTGAAGTCCACATGAAGAAAGGCTTTTTTCCCCAACAAATTACTGCCTGAGTTAGCAAGGATCAGGGGAGAAAGGACATGTATATCATCCCAGCCCCAAGCAATTCTGGTACTAGAGAAAGCCCCTATATTGCAGGAGGCATTAAGAATGGCTGCAAGTCTGAATAGGGCTGCTGGATAGCATTGAAATAAGCCTTCGTACCCCATGGAAAATTACATCCTCCAACTCATCTGAAATGGAGGCTAAAAATTGATGTTTATATTTTGAAATCAATCACAAGCATTTACTATGCTGAAAAGGAAGACAATATACAGTAAGTTATGGGTAAAAAAACCCCAGAGGTTTATTTATATGGTCTCAAGTTAAAAATAATTAACAGAGCTGGGCACTGGTAGCTCACGCCTACAATCCTGGCCACTCAGGAGGCTGAGATCTGAGGACTGCAGTTCAAAGCCAGCTCGGGAAAAGTCCACGAGACTCTTACCTCCAATTAACCACCAGAAATCGAGAAGTGGTGCTGTGGCTCAAAGTGGTAGAGTGATAGCCTTGAGTGGAAAAGCTCAGGAATAGCGCCCAGGCCCCGAGTTCAAGCCCCACGACTGACAAGAAAAAAATTAACTGACTAGCTTGAAAATAATGCTATCAAACTGTGAACAATCCAAATGTACTTCAAATAGTAAATGGGCAAACTCTGGTAATCCATGCTAAAGAATAGTATGCAACAACACAAAAGAATGGACTACTGACACATGAATCTCAAAATACTTAAACTAACAGAAACACAATTTCAAAAGGTCGTATATCATTTCATTTCTACCACATTCTAGAAAAGGGGGAAATGGTAGGAACATAAATAAGATTAGTGGTTGTCAGGAGTTTGGGAGTAAGGGAGGAGTTCATTATAAGAGCAGCATGAGGAAATTCTTTTGGATGAAGGAATTGTTTGGTATAGTGATTATGGTGGCATTTACATGACTTTGTATTTGCTTAAATTCATAGAATTGCACACGTAAAACATAGGCTTTCCTCCATGCTGTTTTAAGAAATAACTGGGGGAAGAATCTCACAACTATATGGGGAGATAGAGAAAAAGAGTGGTTGAAAGTAATAAATGAATTCTGCTTCTATAAAAGAGAATATTGCCTCTGAGTAAGGACTTGGAATGAGGAAGGCTGAGACAGAGAACTTTTAAAAATTATTATTACAAGCTCTTTTTATATCTTTTGTGCTGGTCCTGTTGCTCGAATTCAAGGCCTGGGCACTGTCCCTGAGCTTCTTTTTGCTCAAGGTTAGTGCTCTACCACTTGAGCCACAGCTCCACTTACAGCTTTGTAGTTCATAAGAGTCTTACAGATTTTCCTGCCTTGGCTGGCTTCAAACTGTGATCCTCAGATATCAGCTTCTTGAGTAGCTAGGATTACAGGAGTGAGCCACCAGTGCTCAGCTTAGTATTTGAGATTTTTAACACCACATTCATGTATAACTGAAAAATAAATGCAGTACAAATTGCAGTGGATGGGGGAGTGGAGAAATCTTGTCTCTAACTCTTGATTCTGCACTAACTCAGTAAAGTCCCATCTCTCTGGAACTCTGTTCTCTGGGCTAGATGATCTTTACAAATCTTCTAAAAATCTAAAGAAAATGACCAAGTTAGATTAGTTGTATAACCATAATGATTCCTTGTTGAATATGAAGCTAAGAAAAAAAATCTTTCAAAAGCTACAAGGCATGAAACCATCAAATTAAGTTTCTTTTTAGTCACTGAAGGAGCCAACATGCAGATTGGCTAAAAGACTTACTTGGAATGACAGCTAATTAGTGACAGAGCTAGGACCAGAGTGAAGGGCTCTGGCCATTGAGCACAAAACTTCTCCAAGCCCTCATGGAAATATTCCCCAGCATCAGGGATGGGAAAAAAACGCCCTAGGATGACACCAGGGGTGTAACTCACATGCTGACATGGCTTTGTTGGCCTGGGAGATGAGTCAGAATTTTGGAAGTGATTCCTGACATAAGCATGTCTGATGTAATACATTGGCATCCTGAACTCGATCAAAGCTATGCTAAAATCCAATTTGGGGACTCCATTCCCTGATTACTTTGGCAGCTTTTTCTAGCCTATTGGCTTCTCCCTTTTGTTTCGTGCTTGAACTGAGGCTTAAACTCAGGACTTGAGCACCATCCCTTAGCTTTGTTGTTCAAGGCAGGTACTCTACCACTTGAGCCACAGCTCTACTTTTAGCTTTTATTTTGGTAGTTTATTGAGATGAGTCTCATAATCTTCCTTGCATGGGCTGGCTTTGAACCATGAATCTCAGATTTCAGTCTCCCGAGTAGCTAGATTTATGGGTATAAGCCACCACTGCCTGGTGACTTCTCTTTTTGTAGGCAGAGTTCCTTTCCTGAAAAAATACTGCCATTCTCATTTCAGTTTAAAACAATGGCTTTATCAATTTGCCCTCATCAGTATCTTTTGTCCATAACTTCTAAGCCTATGCCATAATTCACTGAAATTGATCGAGTGGGACAGAAGACATATTGGCTTGAAAACTTGTCAGCCATCATCAAATTTAAAAAAGCTATTTAGAGCAGGATGCTGGTGGCTCATGTCTGTAATCCTAGCTATTCAGGAGGCTGAGATCTGGGGATCACCGTTCAAAGCCAGCCCAGGCCAGAAAGTCTATGAGACTCTTATCTCCAAATAACTACCAAAAAACTGGAAATAGAGTTGTGGCTCAAAGTGGTAGAGCAGTAGCTTTGATTCCAAAAGCTCAGGGGTAGTGCCGAGGCCCTGAGTTCAAGCCCTAAGACTAGCAAAAAAAAACCCCCAAAAACAAAACAAACAAACAAAAAAAAAACAACCAAAAAGCATAAAAAACAAGACCATAAAAGTTTTTGGTGGTATCAGAAGAGAATTGACACTGACTCGACTTTGACTACACAATTTTCCTCAGGAAAAACATCCATTTTTACCAGTAAGTAGGTCAAAAGCATGAACCTTCTGCTCAGCATTGGCTCCTCCTTGGCTAGAGCCTGTGGGATCAGTTGTCCCTCATCATCACACAAGTCTGAGATTTACAGAACGCTACTGCCTCAGTGTAAGCTCTCAGATAACTTCAGAGGGTGTGGCGATCTTTCTGGGCTTCCAGGGAAACAGCCTGGGGAAAGTGTTTGCCCATTGTCTTTCTAGAATCTTCTACAGTGGATAGGGAATCAGAGCAGGAATTTTTTTTTTTTTACCAGCCATTCTGTTGGTGCTTCGTCTACCTTCAATGCAACATTGGGAGCTTGAAAACCTCCTCAGAAAACCCTTGCTGGCCAACTTTTGTGCTCACCCCTCTATCAGTGCTTCCACTCAAGCCTGGCTTTCAGCCCAGTTCTGAAGTCGGCCTTACCTTCTGCCTGGCACTTACTTCACAACAGCTGGCTCAGGGATCTCAGGCACTTAGCTTCAGCTGCCAGCTTAGGGAAGGAGAGGCCCCTGGAGCTGAGCTTGGGACAAAGGCAGCATTTGTTCCACACTGGTACTCTCAATGTCAACAGCAGTGACAGGGTCCAAAGGAGATCATGCCCAGGGCTGTTCAGATATCAAGCTGTGACTCTGCCCACAACACCATGAGGTGAGGTGACTAGAAGCCAGTAATAGGATTCTTACTTCCCCATGGAGAAAGGCTGAAGCCCAGAGACTAAAGAATTTGCAAGGGAACAATAGTTATTCTGCTCAAAACTAGAATCTTGATATCTAGGGTCAACTACCATTCATTCCTGAGACTTGGAAATTTGAAAGGTACCATAAGCTGGCTTGTTTGTCACTGAGTGCACTAATGTACACCCCCACCAACAACGCATTAGGGGCTCTGCTTCCCCACATCCTCACCAGCATTTGTTGTCATTTGTATTCCTGATGATGGTCATTCTGACTAGAGACAGATGAAAGCTCAATGTTGTTTTAACTTGCGTTTCCTTTATGGCCAAGGATGTTGAGCATTTCTTCATCTATTTATTGGCCATATGTACCTCCTCTGAGAAGTGTCTGTTTAGCTCCTTTGTCCATTTATTGACTGAGTTATTGTTTCTTTGGGGGTTTAAGTTACTTGAGTTCTTTGTATATTCATGTCTGATATTATGTATGATACTACCAGCATTGTGTTTTTGATTTTTTTTTTAGTTCATGATTGCTTTGGCTATTCAAGGCCTTTCTGTTCCATATGATTTTTAAGACTGTCTTTTCTGCCAGGCACCAGGGGTTCACACTTTTCATCCTAGCTACTCAGGAGGTTGAGATCTGAGGATCATGGTTCAAAGCCAGCCCAGGCAGGAAAGTCTGTGATACTCATCTCCCATTAACCACCAGAAAACCAGAAATGGTGCTGCGGCTAAAAGTGGTAGAATGCTAGCCTTGAGCAAAAGAGTTCAGGGACAGTACCTAGGCCCTGTGTTCAAGCCCTACAAACTGACCAAAAAGGAAAAAAATTAAAAAAATTTAAAGATTGCCTTTTCTATCTCTGTGAAGAATGACATTGGGATTCTAATGGGTATTGCATTAAATTTGCAGGTTTGCCTTTTTCAGTATGGATATTTTCATGATACTGATTCTACTAATCTAAGACCATAGAAGGTTTTTCTATATTCTTGTGTCTTCTACTATTATTTTCTTCAAGATTTTATGTTTCATTATAACGATTTTTTTATCTTCTTGGTTAGGTTTATTACTACTTATTTTATTATTTTTGAAGCTATTGTAGAGATTTTTTTCCCCGATTTTCTTCTAACTCTGCTCATTGTTGGTATACAAGAAACTTTGTAGAGGATCCAATTAATGAATAATGGAGAGACAAGAAAACATACTAACTAAAGGCATAGATTAACATATTTTAAAAAAGCATCATCAGAAAATTTCCCAAGTTTTGAAAAAGAGAAGCCCATTACAGAAGGCTTTTAGAACATACAACAGACAAGATCAGAAAATA